GAACAATTTATGGATATTGATTACCATTCAAAAAACATTTGTTAGGTCTCTATTTTTGTCAACAACTCTGCTAGGTGTTGAACAAATAGAGATGAAAGTTAATCTCTGCCTCAGAGAGCACATTGTCAGGAAATTTACACCACAGGGATCTGTGGTAGGATGGGAAGAGGCACAAGGAACCGCAGGAACACAAAAGATGAGCATTTAGTCACACCCAGCTTGGAGGGCTTCCTGGAAGAAGACCTTTAGCTAACAAGGTATTGAAATGCTTATTAAATAAAATGTAGTAAGGGGCACGAACATTCTAGGCACTAGGGCAAGTGTGTGCAAAGAGCTGCAGGAGTGAGGGGTGCTGGCTTATTCTTTGAGATGGGATTGCTTAGGAAGTGGCAGGTGGAGTGCATGGACTTGGTATGCCGTGCTCATCATTAGAGCTTTTTCCGAAGGCAATAGGAAGACACTGAAGAATTTTAAGAAGGGAGTAACAAGAGTTTAAGGCAAGGAGAAAGGAAGGTCACAGGCTCCCCAAAACAGATCTGGGGGGAAACACTTCAGACTAGTCATTCATTTAACAATTAGTTAAGGCTAGAACTTAAAAGTCAGATAATAATATAGAAGCTAGATAAGAAATATTTGCTTAAGTTTGCCAGCTTTCATGTGTATTTAACCTGGATGGTTTAACTTAGTGTCTTTGAAGACATTACTTGGGTGACAAGTGAAGTAATTCATTATTGAGGTTATTTGCCAAGGTTTCCAACAAAGCACTTGGGGCATTTCACTGTTAGAGATCAATAGTCGAGTTAAAGAGTAACTGGTAGTAGAAATAGCTGCTGGTAGAAATAACGTAGTAGGAACCCAAGTGACAAAGTGAAAATGTAAATGTGTTAAGAGAAAATAAACTCCATAGAAGTCACAAGGGGAAGCCTACAATCAATTTTATTCATGAGCATTCTTTTGTGAAATTTATTGGGCAAACGCATCAAATAAATAATTTTTAAAAAATATAACAAAAGCAAGAGTTTTGCACTTTGTTAATTATATCAACATCCTATTATAGAGGCCAATAATGTGGAGTGAATTGACCAGGATCTGAAGAAGGGAGGCAATTTAGGTAACTTGGACAAATAACATTGTTAAATTAGTCTAAGCATGTAATTGAATTAGTCTAGCTGTAAAGCATGTTAAATATGATATAATTATGCTGCAAGTTGGAAGCAAAGTTTAATTATTTCAAGAGAAGAAATTATTGAAATTGAGACCTAATATAAACTTGTTTTTACTGAATATTAGACTGAGTAACCAAAGATAATATATGGTAAATATCAAAGGTTCTTTTTGTTTTAATACTGCTCTACCTCCCAAGAAGGATAAGCAATGATAAATCTTTCAAACAAAAAGTGGGGGAGGGTAGGGGGAGCAATCACTCTAAAACATAAACAAAGTCCTTAAAATTACACACAGTCAAGTTAACACCATTTCCAAGGGTAAGCAGATACTGCTTTCTCCGATGAAGAGTTTACTACTAAGGGTATTTTCAAAAGCAAGACACTTGAAGTAAACAGCGAAACAAAGGAGAACTATTTTATTCAGAGGCCTGTGCACATATGGAACCTGTTAAGGGGATGGTGGCTGTAGAAAGAACTGTAAACGAGGGTGAGACACCTAGCCTGTCTCAGAAAGGAAGGGATGGAGGCAAGGGTGGTTTCAAAAGCAGAAAGTGGGCCAGAGATCAGTCAGATGGGAGGGAGACAGGCTGCTGGGCAGATGGTCTTTTCTGTTCCAAAATGTTCAAAGTTAAGGGACACTCCTTACCACACTTTTATTTCATACAAAGAATGAATTAAGAGGAAACCAAGGGCCAGTCAGAGTTTTTTCTGGAGTTACTTGTGTCATTCCTTTGATAAACTTAGCTTGTCTGTGTAATTCATTTTCTGCCTTCTTCAAACCAAGGCCCTCACTTGGTGTGCTCTCCATCACCCTCAGCTTTCAATTAAAAATGTGAATTAATTAAGAGTAAGGTTCCTATTTACAATGTACAGTTATCAATGGTAGGCTATCTTCCTCTGAAAATTCCTGGGAAAGATCAATATTTTTCAACAAAGTGCAATGATTGCATATTTACCCAGTTTAGACTATAAAAATGATCATTTCACAATCCACTGAATATTAACGGACACAGACAAAAAATAATGGTTAAGTTGGCTTGCTTTGGCTTATTGGAATAATGGCATCTGATGAGCCAAGTGAACCGGAATGGCACCTGACAGGGAAGATAAATTCCCTAAGATATTTTACAGGTCTTACATGCCTGCCAGGTATGTCAATATTCAGTCTCACTGAGCAAGCTCACAGAACTTCTAGGGCCTTATCATGGAAACCATGAGAAATGAAAAGCAAGCAAGAGAAACACTTCTTTGAAGAGTTGAACTGCTAATGGAGAGATCAGAATAAACACGTAGGAACATGCAAAAATGGAAAGAATGAAGACATACAAATCAATTCTATGTAACCAATGAGAGATTGCACATAGTCAGGGACTTGGCCCAATCAGGTGAGCATGTATGTTGCAAATGACAGGCTTTACATATACTCCACCCAGCCAGCTGCAGCTCCTCTGGGCTCAGGGCCAGCACCTACAGGGAGACTATGTGGTCTGGCTCTGCAGGGCACGAGTTAAGTACCAACCCGAATGGCCACCTTGGCATCCTGGCTTCTGTAATATAGCTGGAAGCTCACAACTACCTGCACTTTTCACTGCACTATTTATAAAGGAAAGTTTGTGAGAGGAAGACCCATTGGTGGGCATCCTATAAACCCAGTTTATCCCAAAGAAAGCAGTATGCATCCAACAAGCGAAAACACATTAAATGCCTATACTATATAATCTGCATTAAGAGAATTATGGAAACAGTTTTAACTATTGTAATACACAGAAAAATGTCATTTTAATTTTTATGTATTCACTTACAAATGAATAAAAACAAGTCTCTCTTCCATTAAAATGAATATAAGGACTTATGTCATACCAATAATAATCTAATTGACCAAATTGATCCCCTTAGGTACAACAACAAGGAAACATACAGATGCAAAAACTGCACATACACCACTGAGCAAGGACAATTAGAAGACAAGACTAATTGACCCAAGAGGTATGGTTCATATATCTTATGGCAGCGGTTCTCAACCTTCCTGATGCCGCGACCCCTTAATACAGGTCCTCATGTTGTGGTGACCCCCCATTTCATTGTTACAGATTGAACACAATTAAAGCATAGCGATTAATCACAAAAACAACATGTAATTATATGTGTTTTCCGATGGTCTTAGGTGACCCTTGTGCAAGGGTCATTCGACTCCCAAAGGGGTTGCGACCCATAGGTTGAGAACCGCTGTCTTACAGGAATATGTTTTGTGGACAATCTACTTTCCCTATTACTTCTGAATCCTGCCAAAGAACCTACTTATGAACTTGAACGACAAACAGTATTGATTAAACATAAGGGGTCATGACAGAGGGCAAGCTTTATTGCAGGATTGCTAAAGGAGGTCTGTGGCTTTGGAAACAGGTCTAAGTTCAAATACTGGCTTCACCACTTACTAGCATTGTGACTGTGGGCAAATATCCCAACCTACTGACTCTCCCTGTCTTTACCTGTAAAACACCTAATGCGCCCTGAGAGGTTATTGTGGGGCAAAAACAAACACAAAGTGCTTAGTAAGAGATCGACACAGATGAACTAGGGAGTATATCCACAAGGGCACCAAGAAGCTTCCCTGAACAGAGTACAGCTTCCAGAAACAGAGATCACGCTGGCATTTGTTCTAGAGCAGTGATGGCGAACCTTTTGAGCTCGGCGTGTCAGCATTTTGAAAAATCCTAACTTAACTCTGGTGCCATGTCACATATAGAAATTTTTTGATACTTGCAACCGTACTAAAACAAAGATTTATATTTTTGATATTTATTTTATATATTTAAATACCATTTAACAAAGAAAAATCAACCAAAAAAAATGAGTTCGAGGGTCACCTCTGACACGCGTGTCATAGGTTCGCCATCATTGTTCTAGATGAACCTTACCTTTTGCCAAGCTCTTTAGATATACGTGAATGGCAGGTACTGAATGAAATATAAGCAGCTAAGTGGTTCACACCCAAGAAAGAGCTTAACAACTATTTTCAATTTTTCTTCTTATTTATTTACTAGGTAAATTAGAATTAAATTTACACTTACTGTAGCCAGTGGATCCCAACTTTGTCTGCACTTTAGAATCAGAGGTTCTACTGTAATGGCTTTGAGCCGAGGCCTAGGCACTGGTTGTGTAATTGCAGTCTCCTGGCGATTCTAACAGCCAGGGCCTAGAACCACTAGTATAGCTAACCACACTGGAACTATTTCTAAGAAGCACCTTTGCCAATCCTAACTCAAGAACCTTAGTACAGCCTACTCAAGACTGTTGCCAGTATAATCACTCCTTTCTTTATGAAGTAGAGAAAGCTAAAAAGCATATAATTAGTCAGCAGAGTTTGAGTGGAAGGAAACTCATAAGATCATCATTCAAAAAAATTTTTAAGATGAAAAAAATAGGGCATTTTGCTTGGATAAAAATGAGCCATGCCTTATAGCAGATTTCCAGTACAATTATTTAATAGAGAAAGGTATCTTTTAAAGGCATTTTATTTTACAGCCATTCTTTCCCTTTTTATCTTGAAGCTATGCAAAGCCAACGTAACTATCTGAAAGACAGACTTGAGGCAATTCTGATTATGTGGCTTCCCAGTTCCATGGAAATGTGATCCAGTCCTCTTATCAAGAGAGCCACAGTGATTGCAGGACTGGTGGTTGGATCGATTCCCATGGAACTCTAACTCCCTTTTATTTCACTGAGTGACCCTGAGCGAGTCACTGAACTGGTCTCCGGTCTAATGCACCCTCCACACAATGCAATCAGCACACAATGCCAAGTTCCTAGGAACCCTTTTCATCAGCAGCTTACCAGTGTGCTGCCATCAGTCCAACGGAAGTCGTGCTCAAACATCTTGTCATTGAGGCCTATCCACTGGTAGTCATGGCCCAAACCTGAAAGATGGTAAATAACACGGATATTTTTATTACCTTTGCAATATATGGATGAAACATACAAAAAAATATTTTCAGAATGAATTGTGCATCCTCTTTCTGGATGGATTTTTGTTGTTATTTGTAAAAATTTTTCATAGTCTGTCTTTTGTCCTTTTGCCCAACGTGCTTTAAACTAAAAAGCTAATTTTCAAACACTGTAAAACATTAAAATATGCGACATAAACATTATTTTTCTAGCAGTTTACAATTATTTAATGGTTTTCTTCATCCTTACTCTGATAGAAACTTTTGATTTATTCTTTTTATTAAGTTATGCTATTGGTGCCCAGGCAGAGAGGCTCAGTGGTTTAGCATTGACCTATGAACCAGGAGGTCACAGTTCAATTCCTGGTCAAGGCACATGTCGAGGCTTTGGGCTCGATCCCCATTAGGGGGCGTGCAGTAGGCAGACAATTGATGATGTTTCTCTCTCATCGTTGATGTTTCTATCTTTCTATCCTTCTCCCTTTCTCTCTGAAATCTTTTATGTATTTTAAAGTTACAACATTGGCAAAAATTCAGTGACCCAATAAAACACGACAGATCTTACCCATGCTAACCTCACTTTGAAAGCCACATGTTTCTTCTCAAAGCAGTTTAGACAGTGAATATCTAGACCAAACAGTCCTGCAAAATTTCCTCAAAATTAATTGTTTTCATCATAAGATGAGTTATTGGCAAGCATACCATGCAAAAAAGTTAAGTGAACCTTTATCCAAATTGCAAATTAACAATCACATTTCTAAAAGATAGGAGCCATCATGAGAACATATTTAATTGAGCATAAAATAATGTTTCATGAGCAAAAAATTTCTACATATTTGTTACATGAAAGCTAGTTTGCCCTCCTCTTTGCTATAGTTTAAAGAGTGAGTAAACAGCTTTGGTGATAAGTTGCATTAGTATTGTCTGTCTATTCATGATCTTAATATGAAGTCCGCTTGCTATGGCCTAAAATAATAGAATTTTGGCTGAGAACTAATTATGCACAGGAGATAAGAATAAGGTTCTATAAGCAATTCAGTTTGAATTACTGGGACAAAAATAACTGAAAGCAATTTTCTCTTTAACTTTAGACAACATATGCATGTATTCTAAATAGACTATGAAGGTAACCATCAGAAGAATTAGATTGAACCCTAAGATGCAGCCATTTTTGTAAGTAAAAAGCTGATCAAATAGTATGCTGTTTCACCTCTTATTGCAGGCCATCCAAGAAATGCCTTCCTATGTTATAGTTGAATATTCCCCCAAATGGGGGACTCATACCAGATATATGATTTTAAGTAGTTGATAGATGAAGGATTTAATAAGTGGAATCACAACTGAGAACGTACTTGTTCTTTTTAATTAGACGGGAGAGAAAGCTAAGAAGGTGGTGAGAATGAACGAAGCTTCAGGAAACCAGGGTATATTTGGTACATACGATTCACAAACATTTGTTCTTCGTGAGACAGAATGCTGGTGAGATGGGCGCCCTGCAGACGGCATTCCCGTTCGGCTGCATCCCATGTGCGTCGATGGGCGAAGTACTTGTAACACTGCCCTTGGAATTTGTGCCAGCCATAGTCACATGTCTCCGTGTCTGGGAAGAAATAAGGCAGAGGCTTCTTAAGCACATCTACGTCATCTAAACTTGGCTCACTGACCCAAGTGCTAGCTGAAGACCCAAGGCAATATCAATGCAACATCCCTGCAGTAATGGATCCATAAAATGTGGCATGATGACAAAAATATTATGATAAAGAGAGGCCAAATGGTTCCTGCCAAATGGATGACTGTACTGCAGGTCCTCAAATAAGATCTTGTTGTTCCATTCAACTTCATTTTAGTATAACATAGATGGGATGCTATGGGAACTTAACTGTTGTTTATAACCGTCAGCCTATGGTTAGACACAGGCCTGACACACTAACCTGAAATAAAGACATCATTTCACTTAAAGTCTCAGAACCTACGGAGGATGTTAAGTGAGAACTTACTGTGCATCTTTGGACTCAAAAGCCAGCATCTAACTGCAATGTCCTCAATTAGAGCCAGCGTTAGCAGGAGAGAAGACTGGAAGAGAGGCCAGCCAAACCTCTTAAGCTGCAGTGTCTACTGATTTACTGGTGAAATAGTTGGGGCTAATTCCTTACCAATGAAACTTTTAGTGATAAGAATTTGGCTAATAGGATTCTGGATGCTTGCATGAGTACTTCAAAGGTCTGGAAGTAGGAGTAGTCCTTTCCCACTTCCCAGAGAGATAGCTGGTGGCCAGTTTCTGGCCAGGTATGATTTACAAAGAGGAAAAAATTCTTCATCAGTAGCAGCTTCTGGGATACAGCTAAGGCTGTGTGCCTTCTTCCCCAAAGGAGCAGGAATATAGGTAACTGCAAGTGCAAATGCATCTGGATTTTACGTTTATTAAGAATTATAAAACCTGAGCTCTTTAACTTCAGTCCCAGTATTCCACTAAGCCCATTATATATATATATATTAGAGGCCCAGTGCATGAAATTTGTGCAGGGGGGGTGGGGGGTGAGAGAGGGGGTGTGGTCCCTCAGCCCAGCCTGCACCCTCTCCAATCCGGGACCCTTCAGGGGATGTCCAACTGCTGCTTTAGGCCCGGTCCCACAGGGTCTCACAATCTGGGACCGCTGGCTCCTAACCGCTCACCTGCCTGCCTGCCTGATCACCCCTAACCACTCTGCCTGCTTGCCTGATTGCCCCTAACCACTCTGCATGCCTGCCTGATTCCCTTAACTGCTCCCCTATCTGCCTAATTCCCCTAACTACTCTCCCCTGCCAGCCTGATCACCCTAACGGCTCTCCCCTATGGCCTGATTGCCCCTAACTGCCTCTGCCTTGGCCCCACCACCATGGCTTTGTCCGGAAGAACATCCAGAAGATGTCCGGTCTAATTAGCATATAACCCTTTAATTAGTATAGATATATTTTTTTTTCCTTCTTTCACAACAAGCAGACTATAACCAGTAATCTGGTAGGATGAAAACATTTCTTCAATATATCTAAATTATATACTGGCAGTGAGTGTCAGCTATACTTTCTAGATTGCCAGTTTTGATGTGTTTTCATAGGAAAGCAGCCTTACTCATAGCACTGCATTTTCAGTGCTAATCTTCCCTCAGACTCACCCACTGACAAATGAGGTTAAATTCTGTATTTAATAATAATTAATTGAAATAATTTTTTATTTCTACAAAACAATTCTCATATATATGTAGTTACATGCAAAAACTAGCAAAACTGTAAAGTTCATAGCATTTTAAGCACCAAGAAAACTTTCTAGATTACCTAATGACCATCCATTCCTCCCCTTACTTTACTGATCTATGAAGAAAACAAAACCCTACTCGATGAAATAAATGCTTGTTTTATGTACCAGACTTGGTGGCCAAATTGAAAGTCAGATTGCCTCCCGACTGCCACTCCATTTACTCCTCTTTCCACAATTGTGGGAAAGCCTGTGGCCTGAGAGATTAAATTTATTTTTCCCTGGCTTCAGTGATTTAGGCCATACTTATATGACAGATGCAACTGATCTCTTTAGTTCAGTTTAGTCTAACTGGCCTGTTGTTTAGCTACAGCCAGCTGACTAATTGATTTAAATCATGTGCACTGGAAGCTTTGCGTTCTAGAAAAGTGCTGTATGGAGACCACTAGATCTCACGGGAAAGGACACAGGACACAGCTTGCTCACTTGGTATAAAAGTAGCACTCAGTGCCCAAGAATGAAGCATATTTTGTTACTTGGATGCAGTAATTTTCTTTTTGAGGAATTCTCGGGCAAGAACTCAGAGCTGAGCTATGAGAGGTGGGGAAGAAACCAATCTTCATATATGAGGGGGTTGGTTTACAAGGGAGGACAACTGGAAAAACTTTTAGAACATTCTTGCTGCCAAAGTCAATAATGTGATATTATAATAGCATAGTGTTCCTTATCCTTGGAAATTATCATTTATTTTAAGACACGTGGCTTAAAATTCTGGAAGATCCCTAATTTATTTATTTATTTTTTTGTGAATAAAGCATCACAAAAAAGTCTATAACACTC